TCTATAAATGCTAGCTATTATTAACAACTCTCTTGGCACCATGTAGCAGAAAATTGATAGTACTGACCTTGAAGCAAGTATTATCCCTGGGATCCAAACCTTTTAACTTTATATTCTAAGTACACCATATGGTATTTGCCAAAAAGGATAATTCTGTCTTCTCTTTACTGATGTTTTTGTCTTGGTAGAGTATAAACAGAAGCTAGCATTTCTGTATATTGGGATTACCCCCGCATTCTAACAGCCTCATGAGCTCTAGACTTGAGCCTGAGTGGCATACAGATACTACATCAGTACAGACTAATGTTGCTATTTAATACTTTTAGACCTCAAAGGGACGCCAAGATCTTCTGCTTCCCCCTAGAGTGGTGGTTCTCAAAGTGTGGTTTGAGTTGCCTGGGGGATGATCCCCAGACCTTTTTAGTGGGTCCACGAAGTCAAAACTAATTTCACAATAATACCAAGATATTATTTGCCTATTAAAATGTGTCTCTCTCTTCCATAACTGTGTCACCTAAAACAATATATCGCAGTAATTTAAACATAGAAGCAGACATGGGAATCCAGCTGCCTGAAGCCAGACATTAAAGAGATGTGCAAAAATATGTAAAAATATGCCACTCTTCTCACTATTTTTGTTTTTGGAAAACATAGTTATTTTTCATAAAATAGATCATTTATGTTAACATATGATGAATTTGTTTATTTTTAAATGAACCAATAATATTTTACTTTTGATTAATTAAATTATTATTTTATTATAATTATAAAATATTTTATTAATTTGATTAATAAATCTTTTCCTTTTCATTTCTATCACATAAGCATCAATTGATATAACCAACATTAATAAAAACTCTTCAGAGTCTTCAATAATTGAAGATCACTGTCCTAAAGATATATCTCAAAATTAAAGTAACTTTCTCCAAAGATTGGCTGTTCAATAGTTTTAAAGAGTAGAGTTCTGAGGAAGCTAAGTGGTACAGTGGAAGAGCACCAGCCTTGGAGTCAAGAGGACCTGACTTCAAATTTGGCTTTGGACATATACTAGCTGTGTGACTCTGGGCAAGTCATTTAACCCTGATTGCCTAAAAAAAAAAAAGTGTAGAGGCCTGAAACCAGAACATTTTAGAATCACTGACTTACAACCCATAAAGATATGTGTCGAGATGAAAGTAAAACTTATTCCAAAGATAATATTATTGGCCCTTGAAGCCCCTCTCCTGAAAGACCTCAGTTCAGTGGATCTTTTCTAGAATCTTTCATGGCTATTTTGAGCTGAACCAAGAGCTTTCCTAAATATAGCAGGTTCCCAGAAGGTCCCTATTTACCCAGACTAGGGCCATTATAGCCTAAAGCTTCTAGTCCTCCAGGTTACACTCTAGAGCTTGGCCAATGCGTCTTGAGGCCTCAAAGAAGCCCCAGTCTCTGAAAGCTCATGCTGTGGGGTGCTGGTGGTGATGAGAGCCATCTTGATTCTTCCAGTAAACCTCATGGGGTTATGAGGGTTACAACAACCATCAAAAAAGAAAATGGTGGCTAATCACGGGACTCCCAGAGGATGCCCTTCAGACATGGTGTTATTCCATGGGGTTAAGTCAGTCATGTTGTCCTCCGGGGTTCCTGAGATATCATGGACCCTTGTTTCCTGAGGTTTCCTTTCTATTGTGAAGCTGGAGAAGGGTGAGGGACGGTCTGCTCTGGGAGTCAATGACTCTCAAGTGCCTTTCACGGGATGATGCCATGTAGGAGCAGAATTTGGGCATCTAGAAAACACTACTGATAAAGGTCTTTCCATTTCAAGTAGAGAAGAGATTATGGTGTGTGTGTGTGTGTGTGTGTGTGTGAGAGAGAGAGAGAGAGACAGAGACAGAGACAGAGACAGAGAGAGACAGAGAGAGAGAGAAAGGGAGGGAGACAGATGGAGACAGAAAGAGGGAGGGGGAGAGAGAGACAGAAAAAGACACAGAGAGAGCTTCTTTGTTCTTTTCCCTTCCATTCAGTGACTGTCGCCTTTTAAAACCCTTGCTTCTAAAGCTCTTTGGATTTCTATTCATTTCCTTTGTGGCATTTTTTTACTGCAGAGGAGGGGAAAGTGAGATTTATATTGTAATACCCAGAATGCTTGACATGTAATTCCTCAAGCATATTCTGGTACAACTGGCTTGGAGCTTTGTCCCCCTGCTGCTTTGTCTGGTATATCGATCTTCCTTGTCTCCTGAGGGCATTGCTCGGAACAGTTTCCTGAGAGATGTTCCAGTTTCCAAACTTGTAATTCCTTCCTTCTGTTGCCAGAATGAGTGGTATTCACTTGCTTCTGTTACTATTTTCCTTAAACATTCAGTATAGTGAGAACCCTCAAATATTAATAATAGCACCAGAAGTGGAAAGCTGGCCATAAGGACAAAACTTGGGTACCCAAGGTTTCTCTAAAGGTCCTAAACAATAACAAAAATACAGTTATTGAGGTTGGTGATGATTCTGCCTGTCTGCTGCAGAAAGACAAAGGGCCTGTTACGAACACCACCCTCCATCTTTTCAGAGAGGACAATGAAATAACTGATTTCCTGCTGTGGGTGCCATGCCCATAATTTCCTGTAGGAGAAGGAGCTTTCTGTGTGTGAAGTTATAAGAAACGGACTTTCTTTGCTTTGTGACTAAAACAAAAATCTATAGGATATAACTCTAGGAACACTATTATTTCTGTTTTCTTCTATTTTTTCATTCTTTTAATTTTGTTTGACTGATTGCTGATGTCTCATAGAGTCATTAGCTTCCACTTGCCCAATTCTAATTTTTAATGAATTGTTTTCTTCAGTTAGCTTTTGTACCTCCTTTTCCATTTGGCCAGTTCTACTTTTTAAGAAGTGGTTTTTTCAGTGTACTTTTTTTCCATTTTGGCAGTTGTATTTTTAAAGGAATTGTTCACTTTTTCTTCTACCTCTCTTATTTGACTTTTAAAATCCTTCCTGAGCTCTTCCAAGAAGGCTGTTTGGGCTTGAGACCAGTTCATAGTCCCCTTTGAGGTTTCGGGTGTGGGTATATTGACAATGGTGTCCTCTCCTGAATGTGTGTTTTCATCTTCCCTGTCACCACAATACTTCTCCATGCTCATTGTTTTTCTTTGTTGCTTTTTGCTCATGGTGTCTGCCTTTTTCCTGGCTTTTAAAGTTGATCTCTGCTCCTGGGGCACAGGGGGCACTGTCCCACGCTTCTTGTGCTGGGGGCTGGGGGCCTCGTTCCTGGCTTTGTATGCTGGGGCCTCTGGTACTGACTGCTGGAGGCTGTAGGGGTCTGGTAGCCTACCTGGTGCTGAGGTGGAGCTGGTGGTAGTGGCTGCTGTGTGCAGAGGCCAGGTGGGGTCCTTCTGCATTTCCCTGGGGTTACACTGAAGCTCGAGGGGTGCAGTGTGAGGGGTGGCCTGGCCACTGGAGGTCACCTCTTCACCTGGGGTTGTGCTAGAGCATGAGTAAGTTCAGCTGTTAGTGGACATCTGTCTGCCAGCGCATTTGGTGGTTCTTTGAGCTGATGTCTACCAGTTTCCCTGGCAGTACCAAGGCATGTGGGTCGGGGGCAGAGTCCTGGTGTTGGCACTTGCCTGCTGCACCACCCTGGGGCTCAGGATCTCCCGCTGGTTTGCTGAGGTGGGGCTTGCCACTGGCTTGCTGTGACTCCTCTTGTCCTATACTGGTCCCCTTCAGCCACAGAAGAGGGACCTTTCCCATTAATCCCCCTAGCCTCCAAGCTAAAAGACTGCTGTACCTTGTCTTTCTGCTGGCTCCACTATTCCAGGATTTTTCCTGGGGCAATATTCTCTGGGTTTTTCAAGGTCAATAAGGGAAGGTGAGAGTGATTTACCACCTTGGCTCCCAGAAGTCTAAATAGGTGACTTTCAATCATTCTGTCTGTGGGCTGATAGCTCCAGAAACAGCTGCTGCCACTGCCAACCCAGTCACTCCCAAGGCCTGCTCCTGGTTTGCTGGGGCCAGAGCTATACTGGCATAGCCTACACTGGACTGCATTTTTCTCTCATCCGGGTGCAACAGACTCCTCCTGCTGACCTTCTAAGTTGTTTCTGGAGTCTGTGGGCTGAGAAATCTGGAAACTGCCACTGCTGCCAGTGATTCAGTCCCCTGAGGCCAGGTCCAGCTTTGCTGGGACCAGGTCTGCACTGGCACAGCCTTCCTGGGCTGTGCTCCTCTCTCAGCCTAGCGCAACAGATCTTTCAACCTTCCTGGTTGTCTTGGGCTGGAAATTTGTTTCACTCTGTCTTTTTGTGGGTTCTGCTGCTCTAGAATTTGTACAGAAACACTTTTTAAAGGTATTTGAAGGGGTTTGGGGGGAGAGCTCAGGTGAGTCCCTGCCTTCACTCCACCATCTTGGTTCCACCCCAACACTATTGTTATTTCAACAATCATAATAGCTAGCATTTATATAGCACTATGAAGTCTACAGAGCACATAAATATAATCACATTTTATATCCAGAAAAACCCTGGGAGGTAGGTACTATTATTGTCCCCATTTTAAAAAAAAGTTGATTAGTTGTGTCCAACTCTTCATGACCCCATTTGGGGTTTTCCTGGCAAAGATACTGGAGTGGTTTGCCATTGCCTTCTCCACCTCATTTTACAGATGAGGAAACTGAGGCCAAAGGGGTTAAGTGACTTGCCTGGGGCCACACAACTAGTAAGTGTCTAAAGCCAATTTTGAACTTTGGTCCTCCTAACTTCAATGCTGGTGCTCTAACCACTTTGCCACCTAGCGGCCCCATTTTGCAGGAGGAGAAACTGAGGCAAGCAGAGGTTATGCTAGTAAGTGTCTGAGACTAGATTTGAACTCAGATCTTCCTGATTTCTTCTGGGCCCAGAGCTCTATCTACTGTTCCATAAGGAGAGTAAATATGGTTGACCCTCCCCCAAAAAACCCTGAAAAAAAGTGACCTGTATTTGTCAGGAGGGATTGTTCCTCAGTAATCCGTCCCTTTTCCCTTTGTTTCAGTGGAGCAGGCATGGATGGGAAGAAATGCAGTGTGTGGATGTTTTTACCCCTTGTTTTCACCCTGTTTACTTCAGCTGGACTATGGATAGTGTAAGTGGCTTATTCATTCAGGTATCTGGGGACCCAGGGGTCAGGATAAACATGGGAGAATGAACAGGGAAGGATCCTTTGTCCCATCCCACTGCTCACTACCTTATATTTCATGACCTCAGTAAAATTGATAGGAACCTTAGCGATCCCTTCACTTCACAGACGAGAAAACTGAGGCCCAGAGGATTATGAAATGCTTGGCAAAACATACTCCCTTCTCCTTGCTAACCTCCTTTATAGGGAAGGGAGGGAGAAGGGAAAGAGAAGCTATACGAGGCATTTGGTTTTTTTTGTTTGTTTGTTTTTGCTAGGCAATGGGGTTAAGTGACTTGCCCAGGGTCGCACAGCTAGTAAGTGGTATGTGTCTGAGGCCGGATTTGAACTCAGGTCCTCCTGAATCCAGGGCCGGTGCTCTATCCACTGTACCACCTAGCTGCCCCAAGGCATTTGTTGATAAATACTGATCATTTATTTAGTTTTATTAGTAAATGTAAAACATTTTATGACCTGATAACATTTTAAAAATTTACTTGGAGCAAAATGACTAATATGGAACTGTTTTTATGTGATTGCATGTGTATAACCTGTGTCAGATTGCTTACTGTCTCAGGAAGGGAGGAGGGGAGAGAGGGAAGGATGGAACTCAAAACTAAAAATGAAAAAGAACATTAAATAAATAAATGAATGCATGCATGGATTTACTTGTGAGTTTTACTCTTCTGGCCTTGGTAGGGCAAGGATTTATTCCATAGTTTCATTCATAGCTAGTCATCCATGCGGAGGTAAACATTAAATCCAAGTCACCATGAGTCATCACAGAGTTAGAGCAAACTCCTTCATCTTACAGGTGAGGAAACTGAGGCCCAGAGAAATGAATATTCTTGCCCAAGATCACAAGGCAGTGAATGACAGAGCCAACATTTGAACCCAAGGCTTCTGATGCCAGTCAGTGCTTTTTCCACACACTAAATATTATAATGATATCATACATACACACATACATGTAATACATACATAAATACACTCTCAATAACTCATCATTCAATAAACAATCTCATAAGAACATTTCTGGCTTAACTTTTGTTGAAAATGAATTTTTGAGAGAATGTAACTGATTCCATCTAGTTCTATATGTGCCATTTTGAAACATGTGATCCATCCAAAGTCAACAGCTCATTCTCTTCAGTGTCTTTCTTTGCTCCCCTAATTGGTACAAAAAGATTTCATTGACTTAACGAAAGAGTGGATTTCAGGCTCTGGAATGTTCCATTCACTTATCTAATCTGTCAGATCCCTCTGATTGAGTGAAAGCAGCTCTACTAACAAAGGCATATCCCTCATCTGTCTCCTATAGCTAATGATATACATTCTCCTTAACAAGCACACTTTTTTTATAACTAGCTGCTCTATAACAAACAGCCATTTTTTCTTTCTTCGTTTCATGTAATAATGTATATAATAATATATATTATTATATACAATAGTATGTAACATATATAATATAATATATAATAGTAACCCTCTTCACGTCTTGCTTCCTCTTCCCGGAATGATTTTATGTCATCTAGGTCAGGGATGATATTAGTGATGATATTAGTGGAACTTTTGACTTCTACAGGCTAAATGAAATCTAGTGATAGCTGTTGAGAGATCAGTTAATTAGGTTAAAAATTTCATTCATTTTCCTAATAAAACCATGAACCAAGAGAAATTATTCACATCTCTCTCTCTCTCTCTCTCTCTCTCTCTCTCTCTCTCTCTCTCTCTCTCTCTCTCTCTCTCTCTCTCCTCTCTCTCTCTCTCTCTCTCTCTCTCTCTCTCTCTCTCTCTCTCTCTCTCTCTCTCTCATTCTAGATACTTCATAGCTGTGGAAGATAACAAAATTTTCTCTTTAAATGCACCTGAAAGGTAAAGTGTATCTCTGTTGTTTTACTTTTGTTCATTTAGCTCAGCAAAAAGTTCACCAGGGGATGAAGCTCATTTTTGAACTAAAAAGTCAGACCTTTAATGTGGGCTTCCCTGTTTTATGTTCTCTAGGAAACCTGGTCAGAAACACGCACCCTATATAAGGTAATTGGGTATTTCACGTTTCGGGTCTTTGTGGAAGAGAGTGGGTGATGTGCCCACAGGGAAGGAGAATTTTAGCCCAGCTCTAACGAAACCTTGTTTTTTAAGTATTGCAGGCGATGAACCTCCAGCAAGTTGTGTGTTCAGTCAAGTGATGAACATGGCAGCATTTCTTGGTAAGAACAGCATGAAGAATGGTTTATTTACTTAAGGGGATACATATTCTTTTAAAAGATTCTTCTTTTTTAATTTGATATTTTATTTTCCCCCAATTACATGTAAAACAGTTTTAACATTTCTTTTTTTTTTCAAGTTAAAAGATTCTTCTAAGCCCGAGTCAAGTGCATTTCATGGTGCTCTTTCAATATGCTGAAAAATGGCCTTTTGTTTTTGTTCTGCACAAAAATGCAATTTAATGTGAATGCAATTCTATGGCAAAGAATGTCATCTTTACTCTTCTCCTTCCCACTCTCTGCTGTAAAGGTAAAAAACATTCCAGGATTCTCCTGAATGTGGCAAATGAATTCAGAAAAACATTTCATTTGTGCAGATACTATTAGTTTTATGTCCAAAGCTCAATAGTAGCATCAGAGTGGCATCGTCTGATATTGTCCTAGAAGATGTGAAGTAGCCCAAATAATCTGTCTGGTTCATAGCCTCTTCTCTAACACCATTTTGGGGAACATCTGTCTTCTCTCTTTCCCAGGATCCAATATCCCCACAGAGCAATGCATCAACCCTAATTGAATCTCCTTTACGGCTGGCACGTGTAAATGGAGCCAGCAGATGTCGCTATAGTGGGCAAAATTGGCAAGCCATTATTGACTTTTTTATTCCTTCCTCCCTTTATGGAAGGGGGCAGAGGGAAATCCTGCTCGGCCATGCCCATCCTCTCCCAAGGGCCAGCTCAGCTCAGAGAGAGGACTTTCCCTTCTATGCCCCACCCTGTTTCTCCTAATCCCTCCCTTCCAGCTTTCCTCTCTGGTCTCCTCCCTCTCTTTCACTGGGGCCTGGGCTGGGGAAGATTGAGACAGCCGAGCCTTGTTACAACAGCAGGCACCTTTAGTTTGTTTAGAGGTAAACCAAAGACTCAAATTCAGTTTAAACTCTGTTTATTGAGAAATTAAGAGTGATTAGTAAAATTATGCCCCCAGGAAGCCTGCGGCTGCCATGCTGAAATAGAAAATTCTGTGTTGTCAACTAGATAATGACTTTCCGGCAAGGTTCGAACCTACAAGACACAGCTTTTCATGCCCAGTCAGAGGTTTTGTATGAAGAAAAAGTAAAGTCACTTTGAAGGCATAATTAAAGCATAGCAAAGACAAATCACAGACTGAAGCCAGATAGCAAAGTCAAACCTAGGAGGGAGACAACGGAAGGGAGAAACATGTCTGGAGCTCTGGGGGTCTCAAAAGGGCAGCCACCCTCTGGCAAAACATAATGGGTGTTCCCTTGTTCAAACAGGGAAACTTGCAGCCAGCAGCCACCACGCTTAGTCGGTAACTGTGATCAACATAGCAGATTGCCACAACTCAGCTCCCCGGCCGACCTGGAGAGATCTTTTAAAATCTGCTTCTGGCCCAGCCGTGGCTCCCCATTTCTTCCGCAAGGTGGAGAATTATGACTCCCAAAATGCTTAGCTAGAATTCAGCACTGAATCTTGCAGGACAACCAGCCCAAGGCCTGATTACAGAAGCCTCCTATGCGCCCCTTCTAATCCTAAAACTTGGGTTTTATAGCTCATTCCTTCAAGCCAGGCTTTCATTATACCTTCCACACTCTTACGACAATAATCTACTGTCATAAATACCTATTATGATCATAATAGCATCTACCTTCTAGGGCTCATGAGTATCAAATGAGGTAATATTTGTAAAGCACTTAGGACTGTGCCTAGCACATAGTAGGTAATTAATAAATACTTGTTTCCTTGTTTACTTCCTTCTTCCTCTCTCCCTTCCTCCCTCCCTCCTTTTATTCCTTCCTTCTTCTCTCCATTCCTTCCTCCTTCCACCCTCCTTTCCTTCCTTCCTTTCCTGTTTCTTCTTCCATCCTTTCTTTCCTTTCTCCCTCCTTTCCTTCCTTCCTCCCTCCATCCTTTCTTTCCTTCCTTTCTCCTTCCCTTTATCCCTTCTTTCTTTCCTTCCTACTAACTTCAAGGCCATGCTCTTTCCATGACAACATAAACAAACTTTCCCCTACTTCATAAAGTAGTCCTACTGGGTGCAAACCTACGTATTGGATATTTTTAGGGGCTGCCTTGTCCAGTACTAGGATACTGATCCATATGTTGGATTCCATAGCCTTAAAAATAGGTCTCATATTCTCAATGTTTTCCATTTCTCTTTAGAGTTATTTTTTAAAAATCAGAGTTGGGGCTGCTAGGTGGTGCAGTGGATAGAGCACTGGCCCTGAAGTCAGGAGAACCTAAGATCAAATCTGGCCTCAGACACACACCAGCTGTGTGACCCTGGGCAAGTCACTTAACTCTGATTGCCTCCAAAATAAAAACAGTAAAAAATTTTTAAAAAATCATAGTTTATGAACAGCCCAGCAAAGTGATTCATAGGCAAAGCCTCCAGTTGAATTCTAAAGTATTACCAATTTTCCAAAACCAAACATATCCTTCACTTTCTTGGATTTCAACCACTCTCGGCTCCCCTAGGATGCAAATGATGTGAATTGTTTTTTCCTAACTTTAGCACGAAGGTGGCATTTGGTGTTCTTTTTTTTCTTTTTCATCTTTCATTATGGTTAGTGCCATATGGTACATGCAGACCTCCTCACAAGGAGTGTTTTGGGAGAACAGGACTCATGGGTGACGTGTCTCTTTTGGCGTGGAAGGCAGCTCTTCCTTAAATGATTTTTCTGCTCTAGCTGCAAATACTTTATTTTCTCTGGTCAAATCCATTACTTGGGATTATATCATGGATCCGAAATTGGAAGGGACCTCTGAGATCATCTAATCTAATAGCCTCATTTTACAGGTGAGGAGACTGAGGGGCAAAGACATTGACTGGCCTAACTTGAACTGACTTGCTTCGGGTCACAAGGTAGTGAGTGATATAGGCAGGATTTGAACCTAGGTCCTCTGCCACCAGAGCCTCGTGCTCTTTCCACTAAATCAGGCTGACGTCAGTATTACTAATAACAACTAACAACAAATCAGCCTGCATTTGTCCATCAATCTGCGTGCTTTGGCAGCCTTATATGACATGGCATGCCATTTACAAATGAGTCTGTACAGTGTTTATTCAGATTCGGAAAGCCTCCATCTTCTGGACAGACTGAGCAAAGATTGAATACTTGGTTATTTTCCTTCCTGGAGTTGGGAAACCCAAGTTCAAATCCAGGCTCAAACACTAGCTCTGTGACCTTGAGCAAGTCACTTAACCTCTGTCTGCCTTAGTTTCCTCAGCTGTAAAATGGGGATAATAATAGCACCTGGCTCCAAGATTGTTGTGAGGATCAAATGAGATAATTTTTTTGTAAATTAGTAAAATTTACTTTGTAAAGCCTGGCACATAGTAGGCACTTGATACACGTTTTTCCTATCTTTCTTTCTTTCTTTACTTCCTTCCCTTCCTTCCTCCTTCCTTCTTTCCCTCCCTCCCTCCTTTCTTCCTTCCCTCCTTCCTTTCTTTCCTCCTTCCTACCTTTCCTCTTACCTTCCAAAATTGACAACTCCAACAGGCCCCTATCTCCCCTAAACACTGAAGCAGTAAGACATTAATAAGCATCCTTTCTCCTAAAGGATATTATTATATGCCTTAGAGGGGTTATGAGGAGTAAGACTAAAACTGAATTATTTGTTACCTAAATAATGTCACTTTGCTCCCACCTAACCTTTACCCCAAATAGATTGATCGCTGCATCCTACTGCAATCATAAATAGAAATTACAGATGGATAAATAGCGAAACAAGATTTTGGCCATGGACTGGAAAAGAACTGCTGATAGAAGAATTTATAAGTCGTCTTCCTCTGATGCAAATGATATGAATGGGGAAGGGGAGGGGGGAGGGCAAGGATGTGATTTTCTGAGCACCGAAAGCAGAATGGGAAAGATCTGTCTTTTCATTTCTTCTAAAATGTTATGTTAGACCTAAAAGCTAAAATGAAAATTGCTGGCTCTTTCTTTTAAAGGTTTTTATTTTAATTAATTATTCCTACTAAGTAGGTGCCACGCTGTCATCTTTTTTTCAATGCAGAAAACTAATTAGTGCCCTCTCAATTTCAATGCCTATGTGACAAAGCCTCTGTCTCTCCACCCTAGTTAGGGCTCTCCATTGGACATATAATTAGGGCCGTAATTAGATAGGAATTTCTAGAGACTTTTTCTGTGTAACTTGTACAGACCCAGAGAGTTCAGCTTTTGAAAAGTAATGCCAACTGTGTCTTTTCAAATCACCAATACTGAGTCCAGTTAAGGCCCAAATCAATTTAGACTCTGGATAGGTATTACTTTATTTTGGGTTTTTACTGTATTCATATATTCAGTATCTTTGAGGAGCTGCTCACCAGCCCCCAGTGGCTTTGCTGTTTGCCTGGGGTAACACAGTAGCCCAGCTCCCTTGTCATGGAGCACAAGGTCTTGACCCCAACCCCCACTGGAACCTGCCCCAAAGAGTATCTCACTGCCAACTGAGATGGGGAGCAGAACTATAACCACAACATAACCGAGTTATGCCACACGGGGAGCCGGGATGGAGAGACACCGCTCATAATAAGGTGTTCCCTTGTAGTCCTCAAACTCAGGGTCCAACTTCACTTCCTTGGGCTGGTTCTCTGCTCCAACAATCTAGATCGACGGTGTCCCCAGTTTTCAAATGTCAATAATTCACTGAGTATTTTTCTTCACTGGCAAAGATTATTGAAGTCGAACCAGATCAACAAGCATTTATTAAACTTTATATTACTATATATATGCTGTACTATACTACTACTATGCTATAGGATATACTACTGGTAATACAGCATACACTATACTATACTATACTATACTATACTATACTATACTATACTATACTATACTATACTATACTATACTATACTATACTATATATACTATATATACTATATATTACCATGTACCAGGCACTCTAAGGCAAAAAAATAGTTCCAGGACAGCCTCGTTGTAGAAGGTGAGATTTTATCTGAGGCTTGAAGGAAGCCAGAGAAGCCAGGAAGTAAAAGTAAGGAGGGAGAAAACCCCAGGCATGGAGGACAACCAGGGAAAATGTCCAAAGTCCGGAGGAGTGCCTTGTGTGAGGAGCAGTAAGGAGGCCAATGTCAATGGATTAGGGAGTACATGGAAAGCTAGGGCGGGACAGGGTGTGAAGGGCTTTACAAAGGCTTTTAAAGGGGATTTGTTATTTGGTCCTTAATGTAATAGAGAGTCACTGAAGTTGACTGAATAAGGAGGCAAGGTGGTCAGAGATGCCCTTCGGGAAGATCGCTGAGAGCTGAGTGAAGGATGAAGTGGAGTCAGGAGAGATTTGTGGCAGGCCCATCCGATTACTCCAGTAGTCCAGGCATGAGGGGATGAGGGCTTGCCCCAGGTGGTGGCAATTCTGGAGGAGAGAAGAGGACACGTACAACTGATATTGTGAAGACATCATTGTCATAACAGATTGGATATAGGAGGAGAGAGATTGAGGAGTGGAGGATGATGCCTAGGATTTGAGCCAGGGTGACTGGGAGAATGGGGGTGCCCTCGAGAATGAAGGGGAAGTTTAAGAAATGGGAAGGGTTTGGAAGGGGAAGATAATAAGTTCCATTTTGGACATGCTAAGTTTGATAAGTCTATGGGACATCTAGTTTGGGATTTCCAAAAGGCAGTTGGAGATATGAGACTTTTATTGTTGTTCAGCCATCTCAGTCATGTCTAACTCTTCATGACCCCATTTGAGGTTCTCTTGGCAAACATACTGGAGTGGTTTTCTGTTTCCTTCTCCAGCTCGTTTTATAAGTGAGGAAACTGAGGCAAACAGAGTTAAGTGACTTGCCCAGGGTCACATAGCTAGTAAGTGTCTGAGGCCAGATTTGAACTCAGGATGATGAGTCTTCCTAGGCCCAGCACTCTATCCACTGTGCCACCTAGGTTAGGGAGAATAAATCTATCCTGAGAATTATCTGCATAGAGCTGATAGATGAATCCATAGGAGCTGATGAAATCAAGTGAAATAATATAAATGGAGGAAAGAAAAGGGCTCATGACAGAGTTTTGGGGGACACTGATAATTAGCAATCATGACCTAAATATAATTATTAATCTGTGAGTGCTTTTACAGGAAAGACAAATATAGAGGAAAAGCCTTCACCATGACTCTTTACAGTCCCAGTCAATCACCTTTCCCTTCTACTTTCATAACATTTTAAATATAATATATAAAAAATACCAACCATCTACAGGACAAAAATGTAAGTGACTTGCCCAAAGTCATGCAAGTAAGAAATGGTAAAGCTACAATTTGAGCTCAGATTTTAAACCCCAAGTAAAGCACAGTGTGAAGAGTATGAAGCTGACTTCAGCTGAGAAGGGTCTCCTAAGGCTCTCTGGCCTGTGCTGACCTTGTTTTCAGGAACTCCAAGGATGTCATGTTGCTGTCCCCTCTTCCCTGCAATGCATAAACCACACATATCATCACTGCCCGCTTGAGGTACCATCGGATTCCCTAAAGACAGATTAACGGGTCAGTCACCACATGGAAATTTTCTCTATGATTATCAATGTCGTTGGGCATTTCTACACATACAGTGTGAAGAAGAGTATGCTATTGTGACTTTTAAATTTTATTTTTTGTTTGATTTTTAGCCCTTGTGGTAGCAATTCTTCGCTTCATACAGTTGAAACCCAAAGTTTTAAACCCGTGGCTAAATGTGAGTGGCTTGGTGGCCCTGTGCCTGGCTTCCTTTGGAATGACATTACTCGGTAATTTTCAGGTACTTTCTTTTCTGCCTTTTCTCCTGCCCCATACTAGTTATGCTTTCACCTTACCTTTATTTCCAACGTAACCACTGGATTTCTGCTTACTTAAATATGGCAGCCAACCATTTGCTTTTCCTGTATCTCTGTGAGTCTCTAGGAAGAAGCCTAAGGATGCTAATGGAAGCACGTCACTCCCCACTTCCAGTGGACTGAGAGGTCTGGATGGGTTTATTTTGGGGGGAGGGGAATTCTTTCATTCTGTTCTGTCTTTGTTATGTATGTGTTCTGAACTGGGTGCTGGGAATAGGAGCATAGATTTCTCAGTGTCACTTAGTCTAATCCCTTCATTTGACAGATAGAGAAACTGAGTCTAGAGAGGTAAAGTTAGTTACTAAGCAACATGCCACCAATAAGTGCCAGAGCTAGGCTTTGAACTAAGGTTCTTTAGTTCCAAATTCAATGTACTTTTACTATACCAGTGGCGTCAAACTTTGCTAGCTGCGTATTACCTTAGAAAACCACAAAGTAACATTATCTATGTTGTATTGTATTTTTATTTATTCTGTTAACATTTCCCAATTACGTTTTTCTTTTTTTCTTTTTCTTTTTCTTTAAGGCAGTTGGGGTAAGTGACTTGCCCAGGGTCACACAGCTATTAAGTGTCAAGTGCTTGGTCGGAGGCCAGATTTGAACTCAGGTCCTCCTGACTTCAGGGCTGGTGCTCTATCCACTGTACCACCTAGCTGCCCCTCCCAATTACATTTTAATCTGGTTCGAGCTGCACTGACAGGAATTCAAGTCTGACATCTCTGCACTCCCCAACACTGGTTCTCAATACAGTGAACTTACTGGAAGGTAGCTGAAAAACAGGGCAGCTAGGGGCTGCCATAGTGCATAGAGCACAGGGTCTGGGGTCAGGAAGACCCATCTTCCTGAGTTCAAATCGGGCCTCAGACACTTACTAACTGTGTGACCCTGGGGAAGTCACTTCACCCTGTTTACCTCAGTTTCCTCATCTGTAAAACGAGCTGGAGAAGGAAATGGCAAGTATTTTTGCCAAAAAAGCCCCAAATAGCATCACAAAGAGTCAGAAAAACTGAAAAATGACTGAAAAACAACTATCCCTATGTTATAAATGAGAAAACCAAGGTAGACAGACATGAAATGACTTATCTAAGGTCACGCCATGAGTGTCTAGGGCAGGGTTTGAACTCAGGTTTTCCTGACTTCAAATTCACAACCTCAAGAAGCCAGAAGGCTATGACATCAGTGAAACTACCTGGTATTGGGTGGGTCCATCAAAGGACAAAGGAATGATCCTTGGAAGCATGATTATTATTCTAGTCAGCTGACCAGTAGCCATAGCTATTACAAAATGGATATTCTAAATCACTACCCTGATTGTTCCATTACAGCTATAAATTTCGTCTGGGAACTGTCCTTCCCATTCTTTGTCCAAGCTAGCAAATTTTATCATGTCCTACAACTACATACTAATCTCTGATCCTTATGTGCTTAGCAAGTGAACAGTTGTGCAGGTCAGAGAATTCTCTAGTTCTGTACTCCATACCAAATATCTGGTGTTATTTCAAGAACACTTCCTATGAATCAGCTAGGCTCTCTCAGTGCATCAAGCCCCAACATATTACAGAAGATTATTCAATCTCACGTGCATCTTTCCTAGGGTCCCTTTAGGCCCCTGAAGTCAGGGTCCAGATTCCCCTCATGAAAGTATAGGTATGGGAGGCATATTGTGAGTGGTTGTATTCCCAAACTGAGAACCTCCAGGAATAAACTCCATGACCATTGGTCAGAAGGGATTCCTAATTCATTATGTAGTTCAACAGGCTGATACTGATGACTGAGGTCATCCTGTATGGACCACTGGTGGTCATTCAAGAAATCCTGGACCTCAGAGCACATTCTGACCCATTGGAATCTCAGGCCATTAGAGAGTCCCATACATTGATGAGGATTGTCCATGTGGAACTTACCCCCAACCCACCTAGACTTGATGCATTTGGAGGCCAGCCAAAAGGCCAGTGGCTTATTCTAATTGGCTCAACCAATGGTGTCCTTTATATACAGTCCAGATTGTCACTGTAGTGTTGGCCTCCTCCCAGAGGCATCTAATTAAATCTTATTTACTCCTCTTAGTAAGGACACTCCGGTACTAGTCATGTCTCTAAAATGTGCCAATCAGTCTTCCTTGTGAAGCAATAAGAATATTGACAAGAAACGAGCTTTTTTGTTTGTTTTTAGGCAACTGGGGTTAAGTGATTTGCCCAGGGTCACACAGCTAGTAAGGGTCAAGTGTTTGGTCTGAAGCCAGATCTGAACTCTAGTCCTCCTGACGTCAGGGCCGATGCTCTATCCACTGTGCCACCTAGCTGTCCCAAGAAATGAGTTATTAAAGAAAGTGATTTCTATCATCCCTGGTTTATCATTTACAATTGTCTTACCTTCTTTCGCAATATTTGTTGTTATTTCGTCATTTCAGTCAGGTCTGACCCTCTATTTGGGGTTTCCTTGGCAAAGATACTTCTCTAGCTCATTTTACAGAAGAGGAAACTGAGGGAAACAGGGTGAAGTGACTTACCCAAGGTCACACAGATAGTGTAGCCAGATTTGAACTCAAGAAGATGAGTCTTCCTGACTCCAGGCCCAGCTCTATGTGCTATGCCCCCTAGCTGTCCTTCCCAATATTAGAGTTAGCAATATGGTCCCTTTGCACTGAGATTACCAGTACCCGGGTGCACAGCTGTATCTATTTGCTTATGAAATGTAGTAATGTCAGTGCTTAAAACAACATGGTTTGATTTGCACATCTGTGATTACAGACATTTTGCATATCGGTATGTACTCTTATCCCATCCCTTCTTAAATAAATATTTGTGGCCACTAAGGTCAGGAATAGCAAGTGAAGGTAACAGTAAGGACAGCTATCTGGTACTGTGGCTAAGCCTTCCACAAAGGCACTCACTGGGACTATCCATAATGGGATTCACAGACAGTTGTGTTTTCATCCCAGAAGTGGTAGACACTACCATGGGCACAGCCTCTTTGCTCCAGAGTGTCAAAGCCTTATCTTTGGACAGGGGAGTGGTTACTAAACCAGTCAACTTGACCCTTTTCTACAAGCTTTTGAGTCATCTAGATGGCTAGCACTGAGCAGAGAGACCTGAGTTCACATCTGACCTCAAGGCACTTGCTAGGTGTGCGACCCTGGACAAGTCAGTTCACTTCTGTCTGCCTCAGTTTCCTCATCTGTAAAATGGGGATAATAACAGCACCTACCTTCATGGGTTGTTGTGAGGACCAAATAAGATGAATGTAGAGTACTCAGTACAATGTTGGGCACACGGTAAGCATTATATGTATGAGTTATCATTATTATTATTATCTCTGTGGGGGCAAAAGTTCTTTTACCATGAGATGCATTGATTGAAAGATCTCAACTTAATGGGGTCATGAAGAGTCAGACAACTGAAATAACTGAACAAAAACCAAAACCAAACAAAACCAAAAACCCAATATCTACTTACAAAACCTTTCAGCAGTTACTTAATTCTAGTTCCTTTCCTCTGTCAATTATTTCCCATTTATCCTGTATATAGGTTGTTGTGTGCGTATTTGCTTCTTGTCTCCTTTAGATTATAAGCTCCTCGAGGGCAGGGACTGTCTTTTGCCTCTTTTTATATCCCCAGTGCTTAGCACAGTGCATGTCTATCATCCAGTATCTCTGGAAGTCTTTCCAAGCTCATGTTTGTGGCTTCTATGACCTGGCATACAGTAGACACTTTACAAATGTTTACTGATTGACTGCTTTGGAATCTGCTCTTGCAACAGAGTGACAGTGAAAGATATTCTATTCATCCTCAAACATTCTATAACAAGAATATATTTATAATTGTAGCATTTAATTATTTGTATAGATCAATCCATATGTTTAAAAATACCCATGATGCATGCTTTTCTCTTTGTCTTGACTGGTTTCTCAACACAATATCCTTACCAATCAATTTTGGATTGGAGCCACACCAATTGCCCTAATGCCCTGAAACCTAGGAACAAGGGAAGGAAGGATCTTCCTACTTCCACCTTAGATGGAAACAGGGGCTGGTCTTGCATAAAATCAAGGTCTTCTAGACCGAAAATAGAAGCTGAGGAAGAAGTCAAAGAAAGTAATAACTGTTTGACCTTAGTAAAGACATTCTCAGTTCATTTTACCCTTTGTGCCTCAGTGATTTTTTCATAGCTGGTTGTATGTTGTCCTTTTTGCTCAAAAAGGACCAAAATGACATCTTCGTTGGGGTCAGGGTCCAGTGTGTCCAACTGTGGCTAATCAGACCAATATGAGGTTGAAAGGCTCTACCACAAGTCGGCCCCAAATTGTCCATATGAACATTTGGAGTGGAGATGTCTCCAAATTTGCACATCTCACATTTCTTTTGAGCTACTGCAATTTTGCTTTGAATTTTATCATGGTACCCTTAGGCCAAAAGAAATACCTAACAGTTCTATTTATTAAGTAGCCAGGTCCAACAATTGAATAAGAACTTATAACTTATTAGCCATCTGGAAAAATAATATACATAAATGGAAAGAAAAAATAATGTATTGCTTTCATTCTTAACCACAATTACTTACTCATGGCATGTTGTGCCAACTGGACACTGTACAGCTCAAACCTTGGGATCAGAAAGGATACCACCACTCTCATTTCCTGTTCCACGTTGATTTTTTTTTTAGGGCACTCACTTTTAAATCACAGCAACTACCAAAAACTCAGCTTCTCAAAGATTGATAGGACTTCTCAAACAGAGGTTTTAGCACTCAGCAGGAAATAGTTAGATTTATCCTCTGTGTTTTCCTAGAAAACTTAAAATATCCCCAAGAACCACAGCTTGAATAGGTGAAAAGAAAAATAAAAGGCCACGGCCTGGATTATGGAGTCAGCCTACGCCTTCTGTCTCTAAATTGCCTGGCTATTTTCAGGATGGCCTTGGATTGG